ATTCATCATTAAGTGTATGAATATTATAATTATTTGCTAAATGTCTCATAGGCCGAAAATCCAAGTTAGATTATAAATTGTCATTTTATTGTTTCTCTTGAACTAAGCAAGAAAATAGCAGCTGAAACACATGTGGGAAGCATCTTTTCAGTCAGTAAGGGTCATAATTAGGATCCAATGACCTCATTCAGGGTCAGTTCAGTATGCTGTGTGCCCTCGTGCCTTTGTATGGACCGTGTTTTTTTCTTTTGAAGTGAGACGAGTTTAGCAAAAGTAATGACAATAATAATAATAATTAAAGACAACAGTAGCTCAAAACAATGTGTTCTCTCCTCATGAAACCAAAAATATACATCATTGTTGGTGTTTAAGGCTAGGGCAGAAATGGATGGTGACCCCATCTTGTTTGATAAGACAGATATGAAGTCTCAGATATATAACTGAGGCATCATTTCTTAGGGTTAAATGATTTGGTTACATGTTTCTTTCTGATGGCTCATAACAGTCGTTCTTTTCTTCTGTCTTCCTCTTTCCATGCTATTGATTCTACTTTATCCGCTCATGTTCTCTGTCATTCTCAATCCCTTTGCCTGAACTATTTCCCTGCACCATGTTTTCCATATAAAGTATCTAAGCTGAACATGTTAAAATCATTGTAACTCAATAATAAGTATGTGTCACTCTTGTATGTTCTCTCTCTCTCTGTCTTCTTTATGTGTTGTTTATTTGTCTCCATACAATTATTTATGACTCAATGTATTAGAATAATTTGACAATTTATATAATGTATTTTTAAACATATAAGATGTTGTGAACTTTTAAGATGGTTCGATTCTGTCTTATTAAAAGTTAATCATCTTTGAATAGTTGTGTGATCTTTTTTCTATTTTTGTCCTTCCTGAAGCACTTTCCAAGGAAAAAAAAGAAAACTTATTTAGAAAACCTATTCACTTCTGATTATTATCTTAAACATTTGATTAAATCTTTCAGTTTATTACTGCAACACATGATTCCTTTGAAGAGTCTTATGATTGCAACCCCTGGGAGAGGGGTCAATCACATGCGGCTCTCTATGAGGTTTCCGCAGGGTTTTTTGGTAGTTTTTCCTTACTCTTGCTGAGGATGGGCAGAGGATGTTGCACATTGTTAATCCCTATAATATATATGGGCTAATCTAAGAAGACCTTATTGTCCTCTTAACCATGTTTTTCAACAATTACCACTTGATTAGTTGAGCACTCTCAATAGTAGTAGCAGTAGTAGTAGTACTCCGTTTTTAACACCTGTCTCTTGCATAATTTTACCTAATTAATATATAGAATTTTTCACCAACCAGGTTACAAAGTACTTCATAGAAATGTTTTGATGTATCATCTGTTGAAGAATGGAAAGAAACATTGAAGGTACAAATAACTTAACCCAACGATAACATACATTGAAGACATTAAAGGTCCAAGAATAGACTCCTGAGGAACACTGTAGGTACTATTTGCCAATCAATTAATACACTGTGATCAACTGTATGTAACACAGCAGAAAAACCAAACAGCAGTACAGCAGCTGATTCTCTCTCTCTCTGCAGGTATCTCTGACACCTGAGCTGCAGGTTTTAGACAGCAACTATTATTATTGTTATTATCATATGAACTGTTGCTGCTATCATAAAAAACATATGTGCATCTATAATTATCACTCTTATTTTTTAAATTATTAAACAGGTAGTCTGTCGGAGTTGAAACCTGATGGTGCACAACTGTTTCTGGTATCTCTTTCCTCTTTCTCCCCCTCTTTTCCACCCATCTCTCCTCTCTTTTCCAGGCAGATGGCCACCCACATTGAGGCTATTTAAAACATTTATGATTGCAAAAAGTATTGCACTAAAAGAAGAAAAAAAAAGACAACTCTGTGAGGTCCTGATTTTAAGTCAGTTAAGTGCAATAACTGACCCCCCTCCCAGGTGTTTCAGGCATCTGACATAAAGAAGCTTCATCAGCTGCTGTTGGTGCCATCTTGGGAGAAAGGTGAGGTTTGTAATTCCATCATGTGAAGTCCTTCCCATATGCCAGGAGTTCCCTGATGATGGCGGCAGTTATGTTTGCTTCAGACCACCCCTCTGAAACGCCTGACACAGCCAGCGATGACCTCTTCTTTTGGTAGTCTCTTGTACTGAGAGGACAGCAGCTAGGGGACGATGATCTTCTGAACCTCGTTGATGTATGGTGCAGGGTCTTTAAAAACTTGGTCAGGACCTCCATCAGTTCTTGGATGCAACCTGGAAAACATTTGTACAGTGCTGTTTTGTGAAATATTTACAAAAGTTACCGAACTGAGACTTCGAACACCAGTTCAACCTAACATAGGGCACTTCAAGCAAGCAGCAAATCAAGTCATGATAAACAGAAAAGGATCTTGCATGCTGTGCTGTGGTAGTAATT